ACTGAAGCACAGCTTGCTGAGTGTATCCCAGATATGAGACAAGGACTACTCTACTCATTTCACAAATAAGGAATGTTTGATCTTAAAGCATGGCATTGTTATCCCTGCAGATTAGATTCTTGTAAGATCTAAGCGGGATGGAAATGCCTACATTATAGACATGAATAGCAATTCCCCTGACGATGTCACTTGTCTCTTCTCCAAAGCTTCTGAACAAAATGCGATGTTGTGGCATCATCATCTCGGTCATGCGAATGGAAAGAACTTGAATCGAGTTGCGAAGAACGAATTGGTCCGCGGGCTACCCATCAAAGATTTCATTACTTTTAAAAAATGTGTTTCATGCGCTCAGGGAAAACATCATCGAAAACCATACTTTCCAAAGCAGATAAACTCCATAAGTCAAGTGCTCGAGTTATTGCATATGGATTAATTTGGTCCGATTAATGTTCTAAGCATCAATCGCAACTCTTTGTACCTTGTTTGTGATAGATGATTACTCTCGTTTCACTTGGGTTTTCTTTCTGTCTAACAAATCTAAAATTGCTAACCTTATCAAAAGATTCATTGTGATGATCGCAGATCAGACTAAAAATCGAGTGAAAGCGCTGCGTACCGATAATGGAACAGAGTTCAAGAACGCTGTTCTTGATCATTTTTGCGCTGAGAAAGGGATTGTGCATCAATTCAGTTCTGTTCGAACACCTCAACAAAACGGGGTTTCCGAACATCGGAATCGAACTCTAAAACATGTCGCAAGGACGATGCTCTATGATTCCAAGCCTCCTGTATTCTTCTCGGCAGAGGAGATTAACACCGCGTGCTATGTTCTAAATCGTGTGCTAATCAACAAATCCATAATGAAGACGCCGTATGAGATTTTATTTGGACACAAGTCATCTGTCAGTCATTTCTGAATATTTGGCTGCCCTTGCACCCTTCTCCACATGGAATCCAATCCCAAATTCAATGCCAAAGTCGATGACTGTTACTTTGTTGGTTATGTTGCTCAAACTGCGTACAGGGTTTACAATAAGAAGATTAAACATATTGTAGAATCCTTTGATGTTCGTTGGCTTGAAGAAAATGAGACAGATGCAAGAGTGGGTCCTGATTGGTTATTTGACTACACATCTCTTTTCAAATCATTCAATGTGTCTTCAGATAATCAAGAAGGATCTACTTCCAATTCGAAGATTCCTAGTGAAGACGAAGAAGATGAAGTTGTCTATCGACCACCATTGATTTCCTCTGATCCTCCATTGGTACCCTCTGCTCATTTTGAATCTTCTGAGTCTCCTCAACAACCTTCTCCTGATGCTATTGTTACTCCTTTAACTCCGATGGAAAGAGAGTTCATGAACCACGAGACTTCCGCTGTAACTTCAAATCTGATGGAACTTCTCTTTCCAAAAAGTATTGCAGAAGAGTTTGTAGCAGATTCTTCAAACGAACCTTGTTCATCCTCTACAGATCATACAGCAAATGATGGAGTGGTTAATATTCATAATCTTCCTATTTCTGTCAATGATAATAGTTATCAGATCCCTACACATATTCAGCGTGATCATCCGATAGAGAACGTCATTGGCCAGTTGGGTGACGGTGTTCAAACGAGAAGTAAAAGTAGGGATGTTATTACATGTCTCTACTCTTGCTTCATCTCTCAAATAGAACCTAAATCTGTCGAAATGGCTCTGAATGAGCCCAGCTGGGTTGAAGCCATGCATGATGAATTAAATCAATTTGAGAAACTCGGAATCTGGAAATTGGTGGAGCTACCAAAAGGAAAGAAATCTCTTGATACTCGTTGGGTATTTCGAAATAAACAAGACGATTCAGGTGTCATTGTGTGCAACAAGGAAAAAATGGTGGTTCGAGGGTTTCAGCAAATTGAGGGTCTTGATTATACAGAAGTTTATGCTCCAATTGCTCGTTTGGAAGCCATTCGCATTTTCCTTGCTTATGCTTCCTACATGAACTTTACTATATACCGAATGGACGTTAAGACGACTTTCTTGTATGGCAAGGTCAAGGAGGAGGTTTACGTTGACCAACCACCTGGTTTTTTTAACTCATCTCTTCCAAACTATGTTTACAAGTTAGACAAAGTTTTGTATGGATTACATCAAGCTCCTCGAGCTTGGTATGCTACTCTTACTCAGCATTTGCTCAATCACGGTTATTCCCGAGGCACCATTGATCAAACCTTATTTCTCAAGCATGTCGGTCCAGATCAAATTCTCGTTCAAATTTATGTGGACGACATCATTTTCGGGTCGACAAGCCAACAACTTTGCAAGGAGTTTGAAGTGGTGATGAAGAAGCGTTTTGAGATGAGTTCACTTGGAGAAATGACCACGTTTTTGGGGCTTCAGGTCAAACAATCTTCAACCGGAATCCTTATTCACAATCAAAATATGTGGAAGATGTACTGGAGAAGTTCGGGTTCGAGACGCAAAACCTGCTCTTACAGCCATGGCGGAACGACCTCTTCTGACTCCTTATCTTGAGGGTTAATCCGTAGATCAAACTCATTATCGATCAATGATCGGATCACTCATGTATCTTACTACTAGTCGCCCAGACGTCATGTTTGCGGTCTGTGAATGTGCTCGCTACCAGGCTAATCCTAAACTCTCTCACTTAATTGCTGTTAAAAGGATTTTTCGGTATCTCAAAGGGTGCCCAAAACTGGGTCTTTGGTATCCGAAAAATCCCGAATTTGATCTTTATGCTTTTGCAGACAACAATTATGGTGGGTGTGAGCTTAATAGAAAATCGACAGTCTCAACCTCAACAGCAGAAGCGGAATATATTGCTGCATCTTCTTGTTGTTCTCAAGTCATTTGGATCCAACATCAGTTGTTGGACTACGGTTTGAATTTTCAAGAAACCCCTATTTTTTGTGATAATGAGGCTGCGATTCAAATTGCCAAAAACCCGGTCCAGCACTCAAAAACCAAGCACATCGACATCAAGATTCATTTTATTCGAGAATGTTATGAGCGTTTGCTCATTCGGCTAGAACAGGTCCGCTCTGATAATAATGTAGTAGATCTGTTCACCAAGCCTTTTAACAAAGCTCGATTCGATGTGCTGGTTGATTTTCTAAAAATGATTCGTTTTGAGTATTAATTTTTTCTTTTTATTTTTTTAGCATAAATTTGCGCATTTTATTTCATTTTACTTTATGCACAAATTTAGGGGGAGAAAAATAGAAAATTCAAAAACATTAAAAAATAGAAAATCCAAAAATATTAAAAATAGAAAATCCAAAAACATTAAAAAAAATAGAAAATCCAAAAACATTAAAAATTAGAAATTATGTTTGAGGGAGATGTTCTGGGAAGTGATATGATCATGTGATAACAGGCAACTAAGTTTGTGTAACGTACCCAAAGTTGAAGGGTCTATGCTCTGGTTTGATGTGTCGGTAGGCACGAAAGATTCTAAATGGACACAACTAGGCAGAATTGAACTTAGGAAATCAAATGACTTGACAAATCTTGACCTAGATAGTTCCGTTTAGCCTGACAATACGATGCTTGGATAGGTTGAGTAGGGAGATATATATGGGAATCTACTTGTCACATTAAATGAACCCATATCTGGAACCGTGGTTGAACTTTTCCTCCATGTGCGGATTATGTCCTTAATTCTGGTATTGATGGGGCAACTGGTAAATTCCGATAAATTAGGTCTGTAGAAAATCATTTTCTTTCTTTCTGTCTGTTAGTCATATGTTACCTCCTTTGCGTGATTGGAAGAGATCCAACCCGGACTGTAACATATGAAACTCTATTTCTCTGCACATTATACATATACATATATGAAATTCCTCTTATCTATTAGGCATATGTTGTCTCCTTTGCGTGACTAACAATCCGACCCGGTACACAACATATGCACTATAAGTGATAATACTCTGAATCTATCTTCTCCCCTAATGATGGTCTGCTCATCCGATGTAAGGAGTACTCTGGAAGTCCTTTATTACCGGGGCATATCTGGAAGTGGGAAACATGTTCCAGTACAATTAAAATTGAACACTCAAATATTGTCTATAGATCTCGTTGCTCAATTTAGGTGGACAACAATATCCCTGGTCGTCGTCAGCTGAATGGTCCTTAAGCTATAGTATCTAGAAACTTAGGATCAGATATAATATCTAGGAACTTAGGATCACATTGGCTTGTCATGTATAGTATATCCTAATTTTGTCACAATTTTTCGTGTTTAAGTGGACAACAATACCGGAAATCGAGCAGACAAAGATGTGAATATGAAAGGTACTGATAAGCAGATAATGGTTGTCTAAAAACTTTGATCACTAATCCTCAACAGGTTAAAACAATTTATATAGGTTTAAATTGAATTGTTTATTCCTTGTCAAATTTTTATTCTACTCTATTTTAAAAAAAAAAAAATTATTTTACTTTTATTTTATTTTTATTTTTATTTTTTTATTTTTATTTTTTATTTTTTTTAATAATAAGTTTTAGTTTATTAGGAATTTTGAAATTAATTTCACATTAATCCTCAAAATATTTCATTTTGAGAAAATGGTGAGTGAAAGGGGCATCGGCGTTAATGATTAAAAGATAAGGGGGAGAAGTTGTAAATTTTGTGTATATAAAAAGTGTGTGTGCGGTGAGCCTTTTTTACCGTCATTTACTTTTGCCTCAACCGCACACACACCTATTTCTCTCTCAAACTCCTTGAATATTACATTAATTTTTGTGAAATCAAAGCATTACTCAGTAATTCCCATGAACACGACTGATTTTTCGATTATTTTCACAAAAATTTTATATAGTTTGCTGTTGAATCATCATAAAAAATTTGTTTATCTTCAAGGGTAACACCGTGTGCGGCAGACCGTATGCGGCCACATTATTTTATGAATAAGTGTGTGCGGCTGCATGTAACTTCGTGTTCGGCTACATCATTTTCATAGTTTTTCTCTAATAATCTTGTGTGTTGCCTTTCAGATTAAAATGGGAGACATGGAGTTCGCTAAAGCTCATAATTCTGCAATTTTTCTTGAAGATCCTCCTGGAGGCCACAGTCACTTGAAATTCATCGTGGATGGTTTGAAGAAATCATGCTTGGTTCATTGCTTAACTATAAATCCTGCTATCTACCAAAGTTTGATTAAGGATTTCTGGAGAAATGCTGATGTAAAGAAGAATGATCGAGGTGAAAATTTTCTGGAAACAACAATCGAAGACAAGAAAATTCTAGTAACAGAAAGCATCATCAGAGAATCTCTTCAAATTGAGGACAGACCTGAGTACCCCATGGAGATTGACGTTCATCAAATTGAGAAAAGTTTAGAGCATATGGGATACGAAGGAACTTTTCCTCCTACAATCAAAAAGCTGCTTCCTCAATGCTGGAAGCTTTTGGCTCATGTGTTCGTGAGTTGCATTTCTGGCCGGAGATCAGGAGCTAACGAGATTTCTCTAGCCAACACTGTTGCCATTACTGCACTGGCGACAGGTTTTGAGTTTAATTTCTCAAAATTCATAATGAATGAAATGATACTAAATATTGAAGGAAGAAAAAGATACAAATTTTGTATGTATCCAAGATTTTTACAAATCATCCTTAACGTAACTCACCCCGAGTTGCAGAGAGGAAATGATACTCTGGATTTTAAATCCATTGGTCCAAGTGCCTTTGGATTAATGAAGCAAAAGAGAGGCGGAAAATTCGTATTTGAAGGAAAATTTCCATTAATAAAATTTGTAATTTTTAAAGAGGATGTCAAAGAAGAATCAGCAGATCAATCCATGCCAATGGAAAATGAAGATATTTCTCTCTTCCCCTCCGAGTCTGAAGTAGAGGAGATTCATCACTCTCCCACAGCTTATGTAGCTGATGAGCATGATAATCAGATAGCAAATGATCCAAAATCTTCTCGAGAGGATGATGACGATGATCTTTATGAAGATGTGGAATTTTTGAAAGAAATCGACTTTACAGGAATCAATGACTACATCCCAACAAACATAGAATTTGATTTTGGTGATGAAGATTTTGATCCTTTTCTTAACATTCCCAGCAGCCGTGTAAATAAAGTCAATGAAGTTTAGAGGGAAAAGGACAAGAATCGGTTTTGACTAAGATAATTAAACAACTATCAAAGGACGATCCAAAGCTTCCTGAGGATTGGTCGCTTGTGAGTAGTGGAAGTATGATATTGGATGGAGCATATCGACATTATTATGAATAGATAAGATTCTATTAAGAATGAGTTGTGATATGGTAAGTATGGAAAGGTTTCCGTATTGGGAGTTAGATATTGAGAATTTATGTCCAGATTAGAAATTTTATGCAAAAGGATGTTCAAAGAAATATACTTTGAGTGAGAGACATCACATCTATGGAATTGTCTTGTAACAATCTCCGATAGAGGACTTTGTAATTTCATTGACAATAGTCCTTGTGTCTTTAGTGCAGTGATATTACGAAAGGATCATTGTATAAAATGTTAGAATCTAACATATTCTATAAGTGGCAAGAATTGATATTCTATCACTTATGGAAAGGATTAGGAGTTGTGAAATGCGTAAGATTGGAAATGTGTTCATTTGATCTATTTCGCAAAGCAAGAACCGTATGTAAACATTGTCTGCATGATAAGAGCATGGGACAAATGTAGTAATAATTCAAGTAAGAAGTTGATTACCCGAAACGAGAAATAATGAGTAATCGATATGGTGATAGATAAAAGGTGTTTTATTTATACTCAAAGGTTTGAGTTCATATGGGATTAGTATTATTCTTGTGTTTCACTGTGCATGTTTTGACGTCCTGAATAATTTAATTGGTTAAGAACAGTCAAATTGTTCAAACGGACCACAGTCGTTCATATGTTAGAAGTAGATATGAAAGAAAATTGTCGTGAATTGGTGTCTAGATTGTCTAAAGAAGTATTAGACATAAGCAAATGTTTGTTGCAACGTTCATGAGTGCTTATGAATATGATTTGAGCATTGGATTAAACCCACGATCACTTGGATTACTTCATGGGTTTTATCACGAGTGATTGGTGAGACGATAACATCTTATATTTTTGAAACTGAGATGTGTGAGATGTATCTTGCGAGTCGGTTGCACATTGATAATATGTAAACGCACCAGTAACTTGGTGTTATAAAACATATTGTAGTGTGTGATTTTGTGAGTAAGTGCAAGCGAGCATTGAGTCAAAGTTTATCCGTTCCTTTTATCCAAAGTAGGATAAAAGCGATATTTGCGGGCCCCACGATGATTTAGTGATGGCACCTAAGCGCTTGGCCAAGTCGGGTGTAACAACGTAAATTTTAAAACAAATTTTTCATTTTTGTAAACATCAAAAAAACCATCAATTAATAGTCCAAATTCAAACGTGAACAATGTTATCATAACAAAATACATCCCAATGATCATAAAATAGTTTTTCCCCGACAATGTGTACGATCACGCCGGCGCCTTCCCACGGTCCTCGCTAGTACCTGAAACACATAACACAACAACTGTAAACATAAATGCTTAGTGAGTTCCCCAAAATACAACTTACGCACATACACCTTTCCAGGTACTGACCTTCTGGTACGTGTGTCTCAGGGGACTTCCATCCCAACTAGGTAAACCTTCCGGTCCTACCTACATCAACCTTACGGTCCACATTACAACGCCTTCCGGCCCAATACATATATGCCTTCCGGCCCATATCAAGCATATCATGCATGGCACATATAAACGATTAACTTATCACATACGATGCATATAACTCATAACATATCTGACCTTCTGGTCACACAATAAACACCCTTCCGGGTACAGTATAGGGAGAAAACTCACCTCGTGGAAAGTCTAAGATCTCACGTACTCGCTATCTCCAAATCCCAACGACGACCCTACCTTGCCTAATCATAAAAATATCATTTAATAATCAAAGACTTCCAAAACTAAAACATTACCTTTATCATCATTCCTCAGAGGGTGAAAGACCATTTTACCCTTCCTTGACGTAAAGTCCTCATGTTGACCAAAACCCTAAAAGTCAACGAAAGTCAACCCTGTGAGTACGCGGAGCGTACTGCTAGATGTACGCGGGGCGTACATCGCCAACCCATGGATCGGGGTCTCCTCCCAGTACGCTGCACGTACCGAGCGTAACCATCAGATTCTAACACACTTCATTTCTGGTCATAATCGATTAAGCTATTACGCCAACTTCTAGATCCGACTCTGTTAATGTGTCTAAACCCATAAAGTCGAGACCTTTAAGCCTTGGCATGGTTGTAAAGGCTCCAACACTTCTTAACATCATTCTATTCCAACTCAAGGACCTAGATCTCACGCATGGTGCAATATTCACGTCCAAGATGTCATTTTTATGAGTCTACAACTCCAATACATCATAAATATGAAGGATCTAAGCTTATGGAGGCCATTTGCACAAAAAGTCTCCACCTTTGGGACTACAACCCTAGAAAATGGTACTTGAAGCATATGACATGAACCAAGTGAAAAGATCCGAACTTTTTACCTGATAATGAAGCTTTCACCCTTGCAAAGCTCAGATCTACACTTGAACACCACTTCTAGTCTTTCCAATGAGCTCTTCTTCTCCTTTGCAACCTTGGAATGGCACCACCAAGCTTAGAATACTCACAAAATGGCTTAAGAACAAATGCACACTCTTTTTAGGGTTTCTCTCTGAGGGATGGTGGCTGAGAAGTCCAGCCACACATTCCTTTTATAGCCCTACAAAGGAATTAGAGCTTTTAGGTCTGGACCAGTTACGCCAAGCGTAACCTTGGGTACGCCCAGCGTACCTGAGGGTGAATGCGTCCAAATGAGGCGCGCGAGTACGCGCAGCGTACACCTTATACACCTAGCGTACTCGCTTATCATGAAAACTCTAAAATGACAACATAAGCAAGATGTACGGCCAAATAGAAGAATACCTGGATTTCGGGCTGTTACAATTCTCCCCCACTAGAACCAGACTTCGTCCCCAAAGTCTCATACTGAAAACAACTCTGGATACTGATCCCTCATATCAGACTCGGACTCCCATGTCAGCTTGGACCCCTTCCGATGTTGCGACTGCACTTGTACCAGGGGTACTTCCTTGTTCCTCTGGACCTTAACCTTCCGATCCCTGATCACCACTGGTCTCTCCACGTAGTTCAGGCCTGCATCCACCTAAATATCATCTAATGGCACCACTACCGACTCGTCGGCAATACATTTCCTCAACTGCGAGACATGAAAGATATTATGGATCTGGCCCACCTCAGCAGGTAGATCCAACCGGTAGGCTACCCTGCCTACCCTAGCAATTACCCTGAAAGGTCCAATATACCGGGGTCCCAATTTGCCCCTCTTCTTGAATCGTATCACTCCTTTCCAAGGGGAGACCTTTAAGAGCATAAGGTCTCCAACCTGAAACTCGAGTTCGGACCGATGCCTATCCGCATAACTCTTCTGGCGACTCTACGCGGTCAACAACCTCTGCTTGACCTGCTGAATCTACTCGTTCGTCTGGAGTACAATCTCCGTGTTACCCATCACCCGCTGCCCCACCTCTCCCCAGCAGATGGGGGTGCGACATCTCCTCCCATACAACAACTCAAAGGGTGGCATATCAATACTCGAATGATGGCTTTTGTTGTACGAAAACTCTGCTAAAGGTAGATAGGTGTCCCAGCTTCCTCCAAAATCCAAAACACATGCTCGGAGCATATCCTCAACCGTCTGAATCGTCTGCTCGCTCTGTCCGTCCATCTGCAAGTGGCATGCGGTACTGAAATGCAGCCTCGTACCAACTCCTCATGAAACTTCTTCCAAAACCTGGAAGTAAAATGCACATCCCGATCTGAAACAATCGACATCAGAATGCCATGCCGCAATACCACCTCCCTCACATATAATTCTGCCAACTTCTCCGCAGAAGAGCTCTCACTGATGGCTAGAAAATGAGCGCTCTTTGTCAATCTATCCACAATCACCAAAATTGCATTGACTCCTCTCGCAGTCCTCAGCTATTTGGTGATAAAATCCATGGTAATTTTTTCCCACTTCCATTCGGGAATCTCTAGCGGCTGCAATTTATCGTGCAGACGCTGGTGCTCGGCCTTAACCTGACGATAAGTCAGGCACTTCTCGACGAACCATGCAACATCCCTCTTCATACAGGGCCACCAATACTCCTTCCTTAGGTCCAAATACATCTTAGTAGCCCCGGGATGAATCGAGAATTTCGATCGATGCACTTCCTCCATCAAAATAGTACGCGTACCGCCCAGAAACAGTACCCAAATCCGACCCTCAAAAGTCATAAGTCCCCGACCATCCGTAACGAATTCCGATAGCTGACCGACAACCCGCTCCCTCTTCTGGTTTTCCGCTCTCGCAGCCTCAGCCTGAGCTCCTCGGATGGTGTCCAAAATCGGGATCATCACCGTCAACCTCATACAAATGTCTCGGATTGGGGCGTTTTCCGCCCTACAGCTCAACGCATCGACCACCACATTAGCCTTGCCCAGGTGGTACAGGATCTCACAATCATAATCCTTTACCACATCCAACCATCTCCTCTGACGCATATTCAGATTTGGCTGATCCATCAAGTACTTCAGACTCTTGTGGTCCGTGTAGATGGTACACTGAACCCCATAAAGATAGTGCCGCCAGATCTTGAGGGAAAACACCACAGCCCCCAATTCTAGGTCATGGGTGGGATATCTCGACTCATGAGGCTTTAACTACCTCGAAGCATACGCTATAACGTGTCCCCTCTTCATGAGCACCAACCCTAAAACCGATATAGATGCATCACAGTATACCATAAAATCCTCCATCCCTTCCGGGAGTGCAAGCACCGGGGCCTCGCACGATTTCTGACGAAGGGTCTCGAATGAGGACTGCTGCTCCGGTCCCCACGAAAACGCAACACCCTTCCGGGTCATCCTAGTAAGTGGCATGGCGATCTTGGAGAAATCCTTAATAAACCTCCGATAATAGCCGGCCAATCCCAGAAAACTCCTGATCTCAGTGGGCGATCTCAGCACCTCCCATCTCAACACCGCCTCAATCT